ACAACCTCAGAGGTGGATCACAAATGCTGGGGTTACCACCCACCTGGACCATCGAGACTGGGGGCACCGCCCCAGGGAAGGTCTGGCAAAACAGGCTTTTAGAGCAGCAGGCAACCTGGAGGCCCCCCTGGCCCAGCAGGTGTCCACATTTCCAAAATCAAAGGCATCTTTTAATAAGCATCACCCCAATAGACTTGTTTTTTAAGATCGCTTGCCAATTACATTGTACAAATAAAGAATTAATTCATGTTTCCTGTATTTTTTACCTAAGAAGCATCTCTGCTAGTCAGAAGGCCTGGTGAGCATGGGCAGAGAAACAGGATCAAGCTGAGCTGCTGGATGCTGGACACTTGCCTCCCACTCAGGCTCATGCTAGAGAAAAACCCATCACTTTAGAGGGGAGGTTGAAAAACACCAGAAAAAGCTGGTGATCCAACTGCACTTTGGGCATCTTTGCTGGTCTCCAGGTTCCTCCCAGTTTGGAAAGAGCTAAACTTCCCATCCAGTCTGTTCAATTTACTGGTGGAAAAACTGGGATCCTGGAGGGAAAATGGCTCAGCCAAGGCCACACAGCTACAGATGGAGAGACATGGTACAGACCTCCTGATTGGTGGCCACCGCCCTTCCCACTTCTGCACCCTCCAATTGCCCAGCTCCAGAACTCCAGCCAGCAGTCTGACAGCACAGTGTGGGAACCAGCTCAGCAGAGTCGCAGGGAAGAGAGGGGTTGCTCCCAAAGACAGGAGAACCATCCACACCCAAGGATATAGTCGAAAGGACGTGCAGGAAGCCAAGCCTAGGCCAAAATGCCACAGGTGTCACAAACGAAGCAGCCAAACGTGCCAGACTGGTTATAATTACCCAGCAAGCTGACGGCGTGTCTGAAGGCTGCAGTCTCATGACGGGTCCCAGGACGTTTATCTGGCTTGGTAGATGATCTTGTACATGTGATAAGGGAAAGTATGGTTCTCCCCAAACACGATCTAGATCTAACTGAGGCACAGACCACCCTGTCACGCTCAAGAGAACAATAAATTGCAATACGTTTTTATTCCCAGCCTCTGATGAGATCACTGACTCGCAAATAAAGTGTCAAACCAGCTTGTGACACTGTCAGAGAAACCAAGTGTTAGCTCAGCTTTCTTAGCAGCCGTGTGACCTTGAGCAAGCCCTGGCTCTCAGGGGTCCTCGGTGCCTCAGTCACCGAGTGGTAACATGAGCCCCCGCCTTGGTTTGCTGGGGCTGCCGACGCAAAGTGCCACAGACTGGGGACTTAAACAACAGAAATGCATTGTCTCTCAGTTCTGGAGGCTGGAAGTCCAAGATCAAGGCGTCGACAGAGTCGGTCCCTTTAAAGGGCTGTGAGAGAGACTCTGCTCCCTGCCTCTCTCCCAGCTTCTGGTGGCTGGATGGCCATGTTTGGTATTTCTTGCCTTACAAATGCATCGCCCTGATTCTGCCTTCGTCTTCATATGGCCTTCTCTCTCTGTGTGCGAATCTGTCTCCAGTTTCCTTTTTTAATAAGGACACCAGTCAAATTGGATGAGAGCCCACCCTAATGACCTCAGCTTAACTCATTACATCAGCCACGACCCCATTTCCAAATAAGGTCACATTCTAAGGTGCTGGGGAGTAGGACTTCAACATATGAATTTTGGGAGGACGCAGTTCAACCCATAACAGTCCCCGTCCCTGCCATCTCACAGGGCCTGTGAGGTCACAGAAGACTGCATGTGAAAGTACATAGAGGCGTATGAGGGAGACAGGATGGAGAGAGCTGTGTGGTCTCTTCAGACGAGGGGGACCACTGAAATGTGGCTGTAACTCTGGAGGCCCAAGGGGTTCATGGCTATTCTAGGGCAGTCAGCAGAGAACCTGGGTGGCCGGGTTCCCCATGTTTCCCTAAAATGCTTGGTATGAAAAGGCAGACCCAGGAAAGGATTTCCACAGAGGTGGAGTCTCTTGGCTGGTGTGTGACTCGCTGAGGAACCTTTGGTTCCCATCCAAGGGTCTGCTGAAATCTATAGCAGCTTTGCTTTAAGTGGCCATCGTTTGGTGCCCCCCACAACTACATGCATTGAAGAAGAAAGAACTGATTCTAAAATTCAATCCCCCACATGGCTTGGTGCATGGACAGAGGTTTGCCATTTCCCGCACCACGGATAAATAAGATTTGATCAAGCTGCAGGAGGTAGCCTATTTCCACACGGGACGAGGGTCCCAGTCCCCTGAGCTGCCCCTGCTGACCTCACCAGCCACAGGGGCCACCCTCTCCTCTGCCCGTGCTCCCTCCATCCTACGGCACAAAGGATTGAAGTAACTCCCAGGTCCTGCAGTCAAGTGGCAGGGCCAGCACTGAGACCCCAAACAGTCTGGTTTCTGAACACGCTTCCTCATGTCAGACTGAGGCTGGACCACTACCCAGAACAGAGGCTCAGATGTCTGCTGTGGTGCTGAGGAAGCAGTTCTGGGAGAGATGCTCGGCCTGGGGCAAGGGTAGAATTTTCCACCTTGTGCTTTAGCGTTTTCCATCCAAGTGCCCTGAAGAAGGGAGGCCAGTGCGGGGAGCAAAGACTCAAACCTGGGACAGGTGAACCATTTGGAGCAGGAGGGAGCCTTCATGCCCCCTCCCTTTGGGGGGCCTAAATAGCTTTTTTCATTAATTGATTGATTCTATTGGAAAACATGTCAAACCTGCAGAGAAGGACGGAAAATTAAAATATCCCAAACTTTGTCCCAGTGCAATTATACTGGATCCGTCTCCTGTGCGTGCTTTTTCCACTCAACGTTGTACCTTTGTTTGTATCCACGTTAACATATGTGGCTGCAGTTTATTTGTTCTGATGGCTCTGTAAGTAGGCCACAATTTTTTGAATTTATTTTCTGGTTGCTTTCCATTTTTTTATGTTAGAAATGCCTTGCAAGAAGATTCTTGCACCAACGAGGCCCTCACGCTCCTCTGCAGCGTAGACCTAGAAGTGGGATGCCTGGGTCATGGATCAGAAGCATCTTCAATTCTGCTAACTGTTGCCAAACTTCTCTCTCAAGTGGCTCTACCGATTGAGACCCCCACCCGTAGAACTTTGAACTGTCTATGAACTTGCCGACATGGCATTATCAGACTTGAAATTTTTGCCAAGCAAAATGAAATGGTGTCCCTCTGAGACTGTAATTTGCAAGCTCCTTTATTAGCAACGACGTTGAGTATCTTTTCATGGCTTTCTTCTATTGGCCTGAGTAGTCAAGTATCTCCACCAGTGAGGTTCAAGGGGAAGGGCAGAGCTCAGAGCGGAGATCTTTGTCCTGGCTCTCAGCGACTCCACAAACTCTGGGAGCCCTCCTAACCCCTGGGGGAGAAATGCACTGTTGCCTAACTACCTGGAGGAGTTGATCTTGTGGAGGCTGAAGGGAGAGGCACAGGCGAGAAGAGGCCTGTTCCACGCTGTTCATCCACCCAAAGGTCAGAGTTTGGCACAGCGCCCCCAGTGGTGACCTACGGCATGACTCCTGAGGGCACAGGAGCCGACTTCTCTGTAGCTCGGAGCCTTCTGGAGGCGATGTGGGCAATAAAAAACAGTAAGATCAAGAAACAGCTGCCCCCTTGAGCAGAAACCATAGAAAAGTTCTGTGTGACATATTTTTTAAGTAAACCCTATTGAAATATAACAGATAGAAAAGCACACAGATCCTAAGTGCTCAGCTCAGCTGAAGTTTCACAAAGTGAACATATCTATATAATCACCGCCCAGATCTAGAACAGAGTATTACCGACCCCCAAAGTCCCTCTCATCTCCCATCCCGGCCACTACCCCTCTGCCACGCAGAGGCAGGTTCACATTTTTTAAAAATATATTATCCCGTTTTAAATCAAAGTTCCCTGGAGGCAGCCCAGGCAGCCTCTGTCACGTCTTGGGTGATACCCTTTGGCTGCTATTGGGCTACTGAAATTGCCCTTAAGTAAGTATGCCTAAGTCCCGGGGCAGCTGGGAAACAGCAGAACGTTCCTGCTGTCAGTTAAACATGTTCACCTCCAGATACGTGCCTCTGTGACCAGCCTCTGTACCTGGTCAGCTCCACTTGATGGATCCTGTCAGACACCTTTGTGAGCAGGGAAAAGCCCAGCTTCTTTAGTCTGGCCCTTTATGGCCTCCATTCCCCCAAAGTGAGGCCTCCACGGCAAGGCTGACCAATTCACTGTTTCCCGATGCACATACCACACACAATAGGAGCGGCCTGTGAACCCAGCGTGCACATACAGAAAGCGCTTCCTCACATCATGCCCACACCTGCTGTCTGGCATGACAAGGCATCCAGGACGGATCTGAGTCATTTCCTAATCGTAGTAGATTTAGTCTCGCTTCAAGTCTTCCCCCACTCTCTCTTGGCTCTGTGTGTCAGTGCAAATTCTTATGCTTAACGAATTGTGGTGCACCCTTCTAGTCGCTGAAGAAGTCAGCTGGTATAGAGGGACAAGCACTGGGCGAGGAGTCTGGAGGAACAACTTCTAGATGCATGCTGACATGACCTTATCAAACATGGTCCTACTGTACAGCACAGGGAAGTATATTCAATACCTTGTAATGGTCTATAATGAGAAAGAATATGAAAAGGAACACACACATATATGTATATATATGTATGTATGTGTGTGAGTGTGTATATATATGAGTCACTATGCTGTACATCAGAAATTAACACAACATTGTAAATTGACTATACTTCAATTAAGACAAAATTTAAATTAAATATATATATATATATATCTCCAAGGTTCTCTGGATTTTCCTTTAAATCTCACTAGGGAAGGTACCTGAAGTCTTTGGTCATCACAATGTGGCGTGAATGTTTTAACACTTGACCACGTAGACCCAAACTAGAGCAAGGTCTCTGAGGCCCGTTGCTTGGCCAGGCTTGGTCTGCTGGATGAAGGGAGGGGGTTGGTTGGGGTCAGGTGGCGCCCTGGGGTGGGGTGTGGCCTGGAAGAGTGGTTACTTACTAACCAGCAGGCAAGTGTTCTGATATGTCACTGTCCAGCCCGGCCTTGCCGGTGTGTGGCTGAGTGTCAGCAGAGGGCAGAAGTGAGGGACACAGACCGTTGAGAGCCCTCTCGGTACAGGCGAGAGCAGGTGACGGCTTAGATTGGCTGTGGAAATAGAAAGAAATGGACTCTCAGCCTATTTTGGGCATATTTAGGGGGAAGAGCTCACAGGGCCTGGTGACGGGCTGGATGAGCGGGTGAGGGGGAAGGAGGTGTGAATGACGATCAGGGTGTCTGGGCGGAAACCAATGCCATTTACCAAGACGGGGTCACCCAGGGCAGGAGCGCGGGCTTGGGATGGAAATCTTGAGTTTGGTATTGGTATTGGACGTTAAGTCAGGTGCCTCTGAGCCCAGCATGTGGAAATGCCAAACAGAGAATTAGAAATAGGATTTTGGAGCTGAGAGAAAGGTCTATATTGAAGATTTAAACAGAAAATCATTGGCCGATGGAGGCTATTTAAACCCATGGAGTCAATGAGATTTCTGAGGAGACAGAACCAAAAAGGACTAACCAGTTACTGCTAAACAGTCTTCAAGTGTGTTAGTGATGCTGAGGCTTTGATTTTTAAGAGAGTCCTTGTCTTTTAGACAAATATACTGAAATGTTTACATATAAAATAATACGAAGTGTGGAATTTGCCTGAAAAATAAAGCAGGGAAGGGAGGTGAATATTTATGAATATTATGAATATCTAGGCTGCAAATTGGTAATTGTTGAAGATGGATGATGATTACATAGAGGCTCGTTTGACTATTCTATTTTTCATGTATGTTTGAAATGTTCTACACTAAAAGGATTTAAAGGAAAAAAGGACACATCATGGAGCCCAGCAGACCTCCGGTCTTTAGCAGCCAGGTGGAGGAGGCCGTGAAGGAAACAGAAGTGGGCAGAGGGGCAGGGAAGGAGGGAGGCCAGCAGAGTGGGGGTCTCTGAAGCAAACTGGAGAGAGGGGCTGAAGAAGGAGCAAGATGCCCACGGGTCTGTTGGAGACTCGGAGGGCAAGTCAGATGAATGTTCAGTTGTGCCCAATGGGCTTGGCAACATGGAGGTCCTTGGTGATCTTCGCAAGGCAGTGCCAAGGGAGCAGGTTGAGTGTCAGAACTCGCCCCTAGAGAACGGAGGGAGGGGGAAGACTGTGTAGACTCCTCCTTCGATAGGCTTGACAGCGAGTGAGAGCAGAAGGGGGAGGAGTTGAGAGAAAGTTTTCTTTCACAAAGGGAGAGACAGAGCAGTTAGATCTGAGAGAGAGAGCTCAAGATGCAAGGCTGGGCCGTGAACCACCGAGCGAGTCTCCGAGCGACCCCGTCCCTGTCACAGGATGGAAGGGGGAAGCTGGTGCAGATGAGCTGAAGGCTTGGAGGCCACCGCTCACCTGATGGCCATGCCTCCCTCTTCCTGGGGCAGGACTCTTGGTCATCAGATGCCCAGGAGGAGGGGGTCATGTAGAAGAGTTGAGGAGACTGAAGCCGGCTGGAAACAGTCAGGGAGAACCAGAGGGCGGGCTTGTGAAAGACCGTCGCCTCCGCATCACCACTTTGTGGATGCGCATTTTAATTCTGTTTTAGACTCTGCAGTCCTGACGTTTCTTCAGGAGGTTCCCCGGATGAGGAAGCCGTGAGGTAAGGCATCACTGCACTCAAGCGGGAAGTCACTGCGACACTGAAGAGAGGGAACTCCTCTCCCTCAGAGCTGGAGGCCACCTCTGAATAAGAGATGGGGTCGGAAGGACTCAAGACAAGGACCCAGGAGTGACAAATGTTCCTGAGCTTGGCAATGGCTATGTGAAATGCTTTAATTTCATGGAGAAGACAGGGACTAGTAGAGTGGCAACAATGATACGCTTGATTCAATAGTTCAGTGATTTGCTTTCTGTTGATTCCATAAATAAACATTTTTACCATATTCTCTTATTCCATCAGCTGAGTATTTATGTAATATGGCAGAAGAAAAAAAAATGGGTGATGTTTTTGGTTAACTATTACTTATCTCCTGATTTTTTTCTTTATTTTGTAAGAAAATTCATCTTGACTTAAACATTTTTCATTACTTCTCCTTTTGAAGGTTTATAATCCTCTCGCCGGCTGTCTCTCCCCAGGACTGGCATTGCCCAGAGAAGCCCAGGGCTTCAATGTTCAAAATAAAAATAGTCACCAGCTTGGATCCGCAGAGTATCTGCCCTGTATCTGCCCCGCCCTTTCTAAGCCCTGTCCTCAGCCTGGCTAACTGGAACTTCCCACAGGCACCTACTCTGTAAGTGAGGTGGCCAAGAAAGAGTGGTAGTTTTAATTTTTTTTTAAATTCCCTTTTAACAGACAAAGCAGCTGGGGGGCCCTGGAGAAGAGGTGACTTGCCAAGACCACCCAGCTTGTTAAAGGTGGGGACTCGTGGTGGCGACAGGACACCAGGATGAGAGCTGTCTTGGGGGCACACCAGCGACTCCTTGGGCGCCCTTTCCTGGCATCCAGCTTATGAACAGGAAATCTTCTCCAAAGACAGTGGCCCTCCAGGGGCAGAAAGCTGTGGAAAGCACGTCTGACGCCAGAGAGAACCAGAGGCCTGCCAAACTTGGGCCTCTGCTTAGACGGCTCCAGGCCAGAACAGAACTTGGCTTGTATTGAGCCACCAGCAGAGGGCCAAAGAAAACAATTAGGGGACCCCCACCCCTAGAAGCCAGCCCCTGGCCCCTCTGCAAATGGACGCCAGTGACTTAGTGACTCACTCCTCCCCAGGGAGCGGCCTTGGAGGAAGCAGCTCTGGAGCGCCCGGCAGGAGCTCTGTATGGACGGCCCTCGGGCAGGTCCTGGTCTCCAGGAAGGAAAAACAGGACTGAGATCATCGCGGTTGGCAAGGGCGCTGCTCCCCAAGGTACAGGGGGCGCCGGGTGAGTGGCGTGCAGGAAGGACAGTGAGGGCAGGGGCGCGGGCTCAGCTGCACTCGGGAGCCAGTTTCCTGGCTGTGGCTGGACAAGGATGGAGCTGGATCCAAAGACGCCTGTCTGCTGCTTTAATACAAGATCGTGGACCACTGACCGCTTCTGGGCCAGGAGTGTTTAACCCATCACATCCGCAGGTGTGACACTGTGGCAAGAATCATTCAGATTTTGCCTGCTGCAGGCTAACATTTTTAAGGACTATTTTGGACCTTTTTTTTTTTAATTGAAGTGTAGTCGATTTACAGTGTTAGTTTCAGATGTACAGCAAAGCAATTCAGTTCTGCATAGATATACATATATTATTTTTTTCTCAGATAATTTTCCATTACAGCTCATTATTTTGGACTTCTTACCAAAACAAAAGCCTGAGGCCTGATTCTCCTCTGGATGAAACGCCATCTTTGCAGAAAAAAACACACAAGGTAATGAGTCAAACAAGGAAATAATGCAGACGTTCAAACCCATGCTCTCTTAGTGCCGGAGTCCCCCCGAGCCTCAGTCCCAGACCCTCAGAGTTTTACCTAAACACATGTTCGGCTTCTCGGCTTCAGCACAGCCAGGAAAGAGCAATGATGCCTGCAGCATCCCCTCAACCCTGAAAGCTCCTGAGAGTCAGCCTCTGGCTTGAGAGATGGGAGTCCGCGGGTGGAGCTCTTGGGCCACAGAGCACTGTGGCTGGAACTGAAGGCTCTGTCTACCTTCATGGGGCCCCTGGGGACACTGTACAGTGCCTGGTGCAAGTCCAGGAACTCATTCATTTCTTCCTTGGTTCGTGCATTCATTCCCTCTGCCGTCCCACAAGCATGTGCCAATGGCCCGCTGGTGCCCACACAAGCTGGGCTCGTGGGGAGAGTCAGAGAGAAACGAGACAGTCCTTGCCTTGAGTAACTGCAGTGGTGGCCATATGATGCCAAACGGGCCACAGAGCTGTGCTATGGGAACTCATGGAGCATCTCCCACCCTGGCCTCCAGGCCCCTCTGCTGGGACGTCTGCTTCCTTGGTTCTTTCAGGTCTCTGCTCCAGCTCCTCTGTCCTGGAGGCCTTCCCAGGCCACATCCAGTCACTTCCTGTCCCCTGACCCTTCTTTCAGTTTCTTCATGGCACGTACCTCCTCCAGATCGCACAGGTATTGACTGTCTTGCCCAAAATGCCAGTTCCATGAAGGCAGAGATGTTGTCCTGATCTCTTTGGAGTGCCTGGCTCCTATAGGAACTTGGCACAGACGCTGGGAGTAAATATTTGTTGAAAGAAGGAAGGGAGGGAAAGAAACTGCTGTAACTCACCAACCATGGCAGATCTGAGAAGGCTTCCAGGTGGAGGTGGCCTAGGGCCGGACTTAGTGCACAGTAGGGTATCCCCAGGTGGAGAAGAGAGGACCAGGCAGCCAGGCAAAGGGAGTGGCACCTACAGAGTTAAGGAGGCTGGAAGGAGGGGAAGCCAGAGAGGTTAGGTGGGAACAGCTCCTAAGGGCCTTGAGGCCACAAGGGGTCAGGGCCTTGTCCCTGGGCTGCAGGGAACTGGCCAGAGTGGTTAAGCAGAGCACAAGGAAGGGCGGGGTGTGCTGGAGCTTGGAGAGATGGAGCCTGGTAGGGCGGCTTGACGGCCTTGATCTACTTGATTTAGCAGCTTTCAGACAGTGCCAGCAAAACAGGGAGGCAAGTTCCAGAGGGAGCCAGAAGGTCCCTGAGCACAGAGGTGAAGCCCAGGTAGGGCCTAGGAGGCTTCGTGGAGGAGGTGAGCCCTGTGCAGGCCTCTGGAGATGGCAGGGTGACAGGAAGGGGAAGAGCGAGCAAGGGGCCAAGGACCAGATCTCAGTAGCTAACAGCGCCCACTCCTCCCGCCTATCTCCCCATGAGCACAACACGCTCACCCCAAACAGTCTGATGGACTTCTCAGGCTAATTATCTAGCCAGGAAATGCCTGCGCAGTCAAGGCCAGATCTCCCAACAGCCCCCCACCCTGCCCGGGGCGGCCTTGAGTGTTCTCTGCCTGCCCTCCTCGCCTGGTGCCAGCCCAAGGCCACGGACTCGCCCCAGACACAACTCAGCCCTTCACCCTGCTCTGGGCCGTCTTGGCTCCCCCCTCCCCCCACTCCTCCACCCCCCTCCTGCTTGGAGGAGGCCTGGGGTTTGGGTCTAAGGGGTGCCAGGGCTGGGTCTCCTCCCGGCTGTTGTCTTTTGTGGGCCCCCTCGGCTCCCTTGCCCTCTCCACCCCCTCTCCCACCCCCATACAACGGAGGAGGGCAGGATGCACCCCACACAGGGCCCCGCCTCCCCGGACCTAGCAATAAGCGACGTCAGGAGGAGGGAGACAAACTCCAAAAACTTAGCAAGTCCAGGGGTGCCACCCACCCTCCTTGGTGGGGAGGGGAGACACATCATACTTAGACAGCACTGCAAAGGCAGACTTTGCACCAAAGTCACTTTTTGGTGCAAAAACATAAAAAAATGTATTATGTATGACTTGGTATCACATTGAATATATTTAGAGAATTTTTCAGAAAAGAAAACCAGCAAAACCTCTCTGGGAAAGAAATCCCCTATCCCCCAAACTTGCAAGTTATTTTCGGTGCCTCCCTGGCCCTGCTCTAGGGAGGGAGGAGGCGAAGACCCCAGCCCCGTCCGGGAGCCCACCCCGGGAGAGAGGCGATGTGCAGCCAGCCCCTCCCCGGGCGCGCCGCCCCACCAGGGATGTCAAATTGATTAACTTCATCATGGTAGTGAGCTCCCTAATGTTTTTCTTTGCAGTGTCTCGGCTCTAAACGATCGTGACCCAAGGCAATTTACAGTTACTTCCATTTTTTTTAATGAAGTCTGATTTAATAGTCGGAATGGTTAATGGCCTCGTCTGTCACACATAATAAAACAGGGCCTAATTGTATTTTAAAAAGGCCCTTTTGGTATGAACAGAAGCAACAACTTGATTGCATCTGAGAGAGGGCTTTGCTGTGTGCTAAGACGGCTTCCCAGGGGCACCAGGCGCTTTCTTCCCAGGTCGTCCCTTCACCCTCCCCCACAGCTCTTTCTTCTAAAGGAATTTCCTAATTCCCCAGCTGGTTAGAACCCGGGGCTGTCCTGCTGGCTTCCTCAAGGCTGCCCCATCCTCAGGCTCCCAGGGTTTTACACCCACTTCCATAATTACAGCCCTTCAGGTCCTCCCACGGAAACAAATGGCCTGACACCCATTTTATACCTGGGAATGCTGAGGCTGGCTTGCCCTACTTGCCTAGAGCCCCAGGGCGGTGAAGCAGTGCCTCTGGTCGGCGCTGCTGCCGGCTGTAACCACTGCCCTCCCTGCCCAGCCAGACACCGCGCAGGTGCTCCTCCCCTGTGACAGAATAGGTCCCCTGCAAACAGGCCGGATGTCCTGTCCTCTCAGACCCTGCGCTTGACCACTGAATCCCAAAGCCATGGGGAAAATGAGGCAAGGACAAGTGATTCTCCCAAGGGCCCAGAGCTTGTTCAGAGAGACCGACGTTAAGTTTTGGTTGCTGAGCAAGTAACACACTTGCCTTCTGTAAAATATGGAAGCTGGGCCCCTCCTTTAGGAGAGCCTGGGAATCCCCGCAGAAGCCTGGCCGGGGCTGGCCCTCCCCGATGCCAGGACTCTCCTGCTCTGCCCTCCTCTCCTCAGCAGCCTCCCTCCAGGGCACTGCCCACTCCTGCCCAGCGTGCCCTGAATCAGCTCACCCTGGACCCTTGGGCGAGGTTTACCAGTTGGCCCAGCAGGTGTCCCAGGGAAGAACCAGGTGATCTAGTCAATGCTATACTGGATGCATAGTGGCTTTCCCCTGGAGGGGAGGGACAGTGAAAACAGGGCCATGGACTTGACACTATGAGCCATGTGACCTTGAGCATGGGCTCCCTCTCCGAGTGCCAGCCCACCATCTCTGAAATGCATCTTAGCTCTCCATGCCCTGCCCTGCACACCCCCTGGCTGTGGGGTCACCTCCATGCCCCTGCCTTCAGCAGGCTCTCGGCCAAGGGCAGATGTGGCCCACAGAGCCTGCCCGGAGAAAGACCAGAGTCCTGTGGAGGAAGTGCTGGGCCAAGGGGGTGGCTTGGCATAGTAGAGGCACGCACCCTGCGGGCTGGGGAGACGGGGCCTGTCCGGACACCCCTGCCCCTTCGTCACGTAGTCTCTTTCAAGTGCTGGTGCCCAAGCAGAGGCTGACGGGCAAAGAGCGTGTGGGCGCTTGTCCAGCGTTTGGGCTGGAGGGGTGGGCGGCTGGGAGAGGCACCGGGCGGCACTGCTGCTCCCCTGAACTTGGCTGGGCAGAGGGCCTGCAGGCGGGGGCCAGGGCTTGCCTGTTGTCTCTGGGGGCGGAGCCCATGGCTGGGCAGGCCCGCTTGGCTTTCTCTAATAAGGGGAAGGAGGTTATGAGAATGGGGAGCCTTCTAGCCCACTGAAGTCAGGTGCAGGGAAAGGTGGGCTTGGAGAGGACAGACTGGGTTCCAGCCTGCTCAGCTTCCAAGATGGCTGATTTGGACCCTGTCCCTGTCTGGAATGGACAGCCAGTGATTAGAACCCAGAGGACGTGGGCCGACCACCCAGAAACTTCCTCCCCTGAGCACACTGAGAGTCTGTAAGAAGAAATCCTAACCTCCCAGTCGGGAGAATGGGGAGGGAGCTTGCGTTCTCTCTCTCTCTCCCTCTCTCTCTCTCCAGCTCCAAGTGGAAAGGGATGGGA